GGCCAGGTGGTAGATCTGGTCCACCTCCAGGAGGATGGGCTCCACCACGTCGTGGACGATGAGCATGAAGTGGGGGTGCCCGATCCAGTGCGCCACGTTCTTCTTCCGCCCCGTGAACATGTTGTCCACCACGATCACCTCGTGCCCCTCGGCCATCAGGCGGTCGACCAGATGGGAACCCACAAAGCCCGCCCCCCCCGTCACCAACACCCTCATCCTCTGGGACTCAGGCAGCGTTGCTGTGGGTGGAAAGACCTTGCCCCCCCAGCCTGCAGCTTGATGAGCCTTGTTCATCGCATTCACACGCTCATGCACCTGATGACCGATTTCGTGCTGTATGACGTCCCGCAGCGCTGCAGACATCTCATCGCTGCCGCCTTTATCAGACTTGTCCTCGTTTTTGCTCCCCGTGCCCACACCTCGCCCTCTGCTGCGATTGCATCGCACCTTTTTCACCACGATTCTGATTCCCGCATACTCCTCAATCAGTTGTGGCCATAAACATGCCACTCCCACAGTGAGCGCTGCCCCTCCCACTGCTGCCGCAGTCAACAGAGCAGCATATGGGGAGGACACTGAGGAGCTTGCTCGTCCCGACCCCCTTAGTGCATTTACCATAGATGCGCCCCTGTGCTGTTGGTTGTGGCACCGCAACGGCATACGCATGAGTATGTCAGTCATTTAATAGCAACATCGAGACATGTGTCACGAGTCCGGTCGTTTTTGCCCTACATTTCCAGAATCAGAGGTAAGAATCACGGGGCGCGAAGGTCATCATGACCTCCGCCTGAGCTTATTCCACAAATCAAATGACGACCAGCCTGTCACCTGACAGGCAATCGTACCTGAACCATCCGTGCCATACATGTGTGCCGTCAAATTAGGATTATAACACGAACCGTGACCGTCGGTGCTTGCTGGTCGCGGCTATTTTAAAGTGCTGTGTTCACTCGCTCGACGCGCCTGCTGCCCCTGCATGTTTGTTCTTCCTCCCCTGGTTGACCTCCCTCCAAGCCTCTTTCTGGCCGTGGCCGTCATCGATTTCTCTTCACACGTTTTATGTACACGCTTTTAGGGGGACAATGTCAGAAAGTCATGCTGGGCTGGACGGCAGGCCCGGCGCGTGTTACGGACACCGCGCGCCGTCCTTCGTCCCCACTGGTTTCCTGGAGAGTCTGGCAGAAACGCAGAGCACAAGCCGCTTCAATCTTTTGCTTTTGGAGCACGGGGAGGTGTACTTTGGTAAGTGTCGGCGGTTTTCTACATGTTGACGACACATTTGATTTCGTTACCATGAAGAAAAGGGCTGTTTACGCGTGCGTTGACGTTCTAGGGCTGGGAGGAAGCGTAGGGCGGGGCAATCGATGCAGAGATTTATCTATACATGGGAAATACTGCATAATTATAGAGATGAGTGAAGCTCCAGCCTCTGCCCTGCTTCAAATATTGCTGTCCAACTCTCGGCCTCCCGCTCACTGTTGCCCTGCTCGCTTTCCCTTGCCCCTCCCTTGCCTCCAGGAGACTACGCGGTCGTTCGCTTCCGACCCAAAGGTCGCTCTACGATCAAAGTGCCCGGCCGTCTCAAGGTCTCATCGCGGAGTCTTGTCTTCGACCCTGTCAACGATGTCTCCCAGGTGCGGCGCGCATTTCCTCCTTCTGCCCTTCCCTTCGTCTCCTCATTCCTATTGCAAGCACTGCCACTTTCTCCCCTTGCCTCCTCCCTTCCTGCCTCCCAGGCCTCTCGTCTCTGCTTGAGTTTGTTTCTTTTTCAAATAAGCTTGTCCGCCACGTGCATTGCGGAGCCCTCTCACCTGGCCCCTTGGCTCTACCCTGCCCCCCCCCCCCCCTTCCTCTTTACCGCCAGCCCCTCCTCCGATTCCCTTTCAAGCACATGACCCGGGTCCCACGCCATGCGCCTCATGGTATGGAAGCAGCGGAATGGTCCACGCTCACTTTTTCCTCCCCCTCCTCCTCCTTCTCCTCCTCCTCCTCTTCCCCCCCTCCCTCCTCCTCTCTGGACGGTCTCTTCGTCTTCTCCTGCGCCTGCGTCACCGAGATGAAGGCGAACGACCTGGTGGGGCCCTACCTGCAAAGGCAGAGCGGAGACCCTGACGCGGAAGGCCCGGACTTCATCTTCCGGCTCCAGCACACCCCTCTGGCGGACTTCTTGGCCCTGGTCGGACGCCTGTGCGAGGTGGCGGCGCGGTTGGTGAAAGGGGATGGGCCGGGCCTAGGCGCGGAGGAAGCGCTGTTGCGGCCCATTTTGGAGGAGCGGGAGCGGGCCTCGGGGATCTTTGATCCTGTCCAGCTCGTTGATTTCAGGTGCTGCTGTGGGGCCTGAAAAGGGGCAAGTGCCTGGAAAAGCTTCCGATGCGAGTTAACCTCCTTCATTTCCCCGTCTTTTTTCTGTCCCTCTCTCTCTCCCATCCAGAGAAAAGTTTATCCTCTCGGCCGCGGTGCCCGTGGACCGAATCTCCCCTCTGATCAAGAATCCCGGCGTCGTCATGCTCACTGACCGCCGCTTCTATTTCCAGCCCGCCGAGCTGAACAATGTGGGCATCTCCACCACCTCGTTGGCCCTGGCCTCCATCGTCCAGGTCTTCAAACGACGGTACATGCTCAGGCAAACCGGTCTGGAGATATTTTTTGCTGCGGCGGGAGAGGGAGGGACGGAGGGCGGGATGGAGGACGGGAAGGGGGGCGTTGGATGGGCGAGTGGGTCTGGTAGGGGAAGCGGGAGGAGGCAGGGCGGGGGGCTCGACAGCAGAGACGGCGAAGGACTCGGCACGACCGCGACCAGGAGCAAAGGAGGCCAGGGGGGCGAGGTCACAGAGGCCCCGCCCCGGGTGAACAGTGTCCTCTTTTCGTTCCGATCCTCCCAGGAACGTGACCGGGTGCATGCCTTGCTGCTCGCCCAGCCGGCGCTCACGGACGGCGTGCTGCAGCCTGTGCGCGTCGCGGAGGTGACTCGTCGGTGGCAGGAGCGACGCATCTCCAACCTGGACTACCTCCTCTATCTGAACACGCTGGCGGACCGGTCGTTCAAGGACCTGACCCAATACCCCGTCTTCCCCTGGGTGCTGGCTGACTACACGAGCAAGAAGCTGGACTGGGAGAGCCCGAGCACCTACCGCGATCTGAGCAAGCCGATGGGGGCTTTGCACCAGGAGCGACTGGCTTATCTGCGGGAGCGGTACCACTCCATGCCGGAGGAAAACGCGGAGATGGGCATCCCGCCCCCTTTTTTGTACGGCACCCACTACTCCACGCCGGGCTACGTCCTCTTCTACCTGGTGCGGGCGGCCCCTGAGCACATGCTCTGCCTCCAAGACGGGAAGTTCGACAGCGCGGACCGGATGTTCAGCTGCGTGGCGGACACGTGGCAGTCCTGCCTGACCAACCCCGCCGACTTGAAGGAGCTTATCCCCGAGTTCTACTTCTCCCAGGGCGACTTCCTCGTCAACGTGGAGGGTCTGCCCTTGGGGACCACGCAGGGAGGGGTCAGGTTGGGCGACGTGGCTCTCCCGCCCTGGGCCCGGAACGAAAGAGACTTCGTGCGTAAGATGCGTCGAGCCCTCAACGACAGCACCTATGTTTCCCAGCACTTGCATGAGTGGATCGATCTCATCTTCGGCGTCAAGCAGAAGGGCGAGGCGGCCGTCTCCGCCGACAATTTATTCTACTACCTGACGTACGAAGGGGCCGTCGACTTGGAGCAGGTGACTGATCCACTGGAAAGGGCAGCTTTCGAGGCTCAAATCCGCGAGTTCGGACAAACCCCCAAACAGGTCTTCCTTGGGCCCCACCCGAGGAGGGACGACCCGCCCTCCGTCCCTGTTTTCCTGACTCCCAGCTTCCAGGACTCGTCCTCCTCCCCGGCGGTGGGGCTGCCCTCGAACGGAGGGGGCGGGGCGCGCCCGCGGGGGGCCTCGGAGCACGAACTGGAAGGGCCGTGGGAGATGGTTCGGGGGGAAAGCCTGTTGCTCTCCCAGAGCCTCTCTCAGTCCCTCTCACAGAGCATGGGGGGAAGTGGCTGGGAGATCTTGCGCCAGGATGCGTCGGAGAGGGAGGGTGGGAGAGAGGGCGGCGTGGGGCCGGAGGCATCCTCCCAATCGTCTCCTGTGCACCTGAACGGTCGCGGTAGCATCCTCAGCCCCAAGACCCTCATGGCCAAGGGGCTGGGGCTCCTGCCCCCCCCGGCCCGGCACGGATAAGTGCACCTCAGTACAGCAGCCGGAGCAGCTCATGTTTGTGATGGATGGGGCCGAGAGCCTGCAGTCCCCCACGAGCTTGCGGCTGAACGAACAGGCCCAGCGGACGTTGGAGGAAATGATCCGTGTCGCCCACAACGAGGAGACTTATGCGAATGGATGCTCCGGTCCGACCGCGGCGGCCTCCCTGCGTGGAGGGGCCTCCAATACGAATGGCGATGGAGTCGTGGCAGGAGTGAGAGGGGGAGTGGACGACCTGCCGGCGGTCGTGCGCTTGGAAGAGCTGATATCCAGGGAGGCCCTCCTGAGCATCCCAGGCAGCACTCCTCGGCTCCTGCTTCCCCTGCCCCGTGCGGGCATCCACAAGGCAGAAGGAGGCTCGCAGGGGGCAGCGACTGCCTCGACCGGCCCCGAAGATGCCCGCGACGCCCCTCGTCTCGGCCTGCTCGGGAGCCGGGCCGTGTGTCTGCACCACGACGCGGTCACCTCCCTGAAATGGGCGGACGGGGGGCGGTCTCTCTGCAGCACCTCGGACGACGGGAGCTTTCGTGTCAGCACCTTGCTGATGGGGCCTCAGGACGAGGGGAAGAGAGATGAGAAGGCGTCTTTCCAGTCCAAGCGTCACTTCTCGCCCAGCGACATCGCTCTTTCCTCCTGTGCCTTGATGGGTGGGGAGGCGTCCGAGGGGGGATTGGAGGTCAAAGGGGAGGGAGGCCCGGCGGCCAGCCCCCACACACTAGCTGCCCTCGGGTCCTACGACAACCACGTCTACCTGTATTCTATTCCCTCAGCGCGGCAGCTCTTGCGGCTGGACGCCCACGACGACGCCGTGTCATGCCTGGACGTGGCCGGGCCCTACCTGGCGTCGGGGTCATGGGACGCCACGGTCAAGGTCTGGGGTATACAGTCCTCCCGCAGCTGCGGCAGCCTCATTGAGCCGATGCCCTTGGCGGAATTCTTCGAGCACACCACACAGGTCCACTGTGTGGCGCTGAAGGTGGAGGCGAGCGGGACGGAGGCAGCGCTGGTGGCAGCGGGGGCGGAGGACGGGCAGGTGATGGTCTGGAACCTTGCGGCCAGGTGCTTGGTCTCGAGCTTCAGGGTGGGGGGGGGGAGGCGGTGACAGGCGTCAAGTGGGGAGGCCAAGGGAATGGGGCGGACGGCGAGGGCTCCTTCGGGGCTGCTCCTCCATATCTGTACGCAGCAACCGCGGGTGGCCTGCTCGGTTGTCATGCCGCGGAGGGGCCAGCCCTCGGGGTCGCGCTGTGTGGACCGGTGAAAGGAGGGAACTCGGGAGGGAGGTGTGGCATACGGTGCTTGGAGGTGTCAGGGAGTCGGGACGGGAGGGACGTGCTTGCAACTGGGAGTGGTGACGGGAGCGTGCGCCTGTGGCTAGGTGGGGGGCCGGGGAGGGTGGGAGGGGGGCTGCAGGTTTTGGCGGTGGTGGAGCGGGCACACGAAGATGCGGTGACGTGCCTGGCGCTGAACTGGAGGAAGGGACGGTTGGCAACGGGTCACGCGGACGGTAGTGTGAATGTGTGGGGGGTGGAGAGCGATGAGGGGGTGGGCAGAGGAAGGGGGCAGAGGGGGGGAGAAGCGGGATGGAGGGTTCTAGCTGGGACTGAGAAGTGAATGGCTGACTGATTGTGTATGTACTTGTGAACATAGCACACCACATTGAGAGGGTCGTTAATCATGCACAAAAAGGCAATGACACGCAAGCAACTATAATTATTGAGGTCCTACAAGCCCATCATTTTTCTCATGTACACTGTAATTGAGCCGACTAATTGAGCCGAGAGCAGCCACGCGGCCTGTGGCCATTGTGAGCGACACATGAGCATCCATTGTGTGACTGCTCATCTCATAGTCAATGACACATCCCTGGACCCACTCTCATCGTGGCTTACTTGGCCCCTGCAGGACGGGCCCAGCCCCCGTGAGCTCCCAGGGCAGCCAGGCCAGACTCACACCAAGCTTGTTTCCCGCCTCCCATGAGCGTTCTGCCCGCCTTGTGCCGGTTTGCCACTGTGACTGGAACCACTGTGACTGTTGCTGCCATAAATGACGTCGCTGGCGCCCCGCCCGCGGGGTCCTCCCCACCCCAAACTCGATCCTGTCCCCGCCACCATCCCCCCGCTTGAATTCAGAAGACCGTTGAAGGGATCGAGCACGCCCAAGCTCCCTCCTTGGCCCATTCCACCATTGTTGCTCCCGCAGCTGCCGCTGCTTCCGCCCGGAGTGCTCACAGCAGACGACGTGCCGATCCCAGGCGTAGGCCCTGGCGAGAGGGTCATCCGGGGAGGCACGGCCGCCGGGAATTTCAAGGCGGAGGCGAAGCCGTCGTGCAGACTGTCCGAGAGGCCTGCGATTCCCCCGGGCTTGCTGGCGATGGGGATGGGCGCGCTGAAGGGGGGAGGCGGAGGTTGCGGTAGGAAGTCATGCGCGAACACGTGCGGGTTGGGGGGGTCGTGGAGGGGCTGGCCCCGGCGCTGAGCGGGGATTGGTGCGACATGGCAGCCTGCTGCTGCCGCTGCACGTGCTGGTGTTGCGGCTGTGCTGGTGGTGGGGGCGGAGGCGGGGGGCCCTCCTTCTCCGCCACGTTCCCCGTCGCGAGCTGACTCGGTACGCCCGGGCCCGCCCCCCCCGCCTCCGCCCCCCGGCGGTGGTCTAGCTCCTGCATCATGCTCTCACAGCGTTCCTTCACTTTCTCATACTTTTTCTCAGTCTCCACGCGCTTCCGCCGCTCCTCCTCTACCTTCTCCTCGAGCGCTCGGTTCTTCTCCTGCAACCTCTTCATCTGCAAATCCACCTCCTTCCGCCGACTCACGGCCGCCTCCACCTCCACCTTCATCTGCTCCAGAAGATAAGTCAGCTTCCCCGCCCCAATGTCCTTCCCCGGACCGGAGGAGGACATGGACGAGGGAGGCATTTCGTGGTGGTGGACAGGACTGCTCTTCGGGGGCCCTGGCGTGGACGCCGGCCCGAAACCCGCCCGGTCCGGTCCTCCGGCTGCGACGCCCCCCGAGGCTCCTGGGAGATGCGGCGATGAATGGAAAAAACGCTCCATCTGCGAGAGTCGGTGCAGGATGAGGTCGTTCTGCTGGCGCAGGAGTCGCCATCCCGCCTGATCTTGGGGGGAACCCGCCTCCTGCGAGTAGGCGGGGGGCAAGCCGGGGGCGTACGGGCGCCCGCTTCCAGATTGACCCTCCCCTTGCGCCCGATAGTTTGCGATCTCGGACTGGGATCCATGCCCGATTCCCTCCATGTGCTGCATCGAAGTCGCTGGCCGCAGGTTCGTTCCTCCCGAGCCCCCCACCGCGTAAGGCGCCTCGAGCTGCTGGGCCGAGGACGCCCGTGGGAGCGAGTGGCCGTGCATGTGGTGGTGCCCGTGAGGATGGGGCGGGGGCCGTGAGTGGGGAAGCCCATGGCTCGATGCCCCTCCCAGGCCGCCTTGATGGGAGGGCGGATGCTCGGCGCGATGGCCTTGCTGATGGTGGCCGTGGGACTGATGAACGTGCGGGTGCGGGTCCATGTGCACGTGAGGGCTGGGTGTGCCGGGCGGATGATGCGCGGAGGGCCCTGAGCCCTCCATGCCCAAGTCAGGCAGTTCACGGATAGTGAACCGGCCTTTTTTCTCCCCTCCCGTCTTGCCCGATTTGCTCAGGGAATCCGTCAGGTCAGAGACCGTACTCATATCCACTGTCCCCATCCGGTGCGATGTATATGGATGAGGACTACTGGACGGGGAAGTATCATGTGTATGTACATGGGAACGTTCTGAGGCTTTGATTCTTCCCCCCACGATGTCTCCCTCAGGGTAGGACGCCTCCTCGACCTCGCCCGCTTCCACCTGTTTTACGCGGAAACGCCCTTTCCGCTCCGCCGGCATGCCTCCTCCTTCCCCTGGAAGGGTGCTACCAGTCGGGGCAGTAGTAATGGAGGAGGAGGAGGGCGAGCAGGACTCGGCCATAGGAGGAAGAGGTGAGGTCGACGAGAAACTGGGCGCTCTGTTCCTCCTGCGTGGGAATGCCCAGTGCCGACACGCACCTGTGGAGGAATGCAAGACGGTCGTTGAGTCAAGTATCCTGATGGTGTACATTGGACTCGATGGCGGCATATTTTTTGCCCCTGGTCGTTGTGCGTGTACATGTAAACTATCCACGACAGTGCCCTGAAGAACTCTTCCGGTTTCGCTCGAGAGGAGGCGAGGAGCACACCAAATGCACGCAATGCGTAGAACGCAGTAAACGGCGCTTTAAACCCTTCAATGCCACGCGAACGACAGATGAAGATGCTTCGTACTCTCGGGTGCAGATATTTCACGCGACTAGGGCGAGGACTCTCTGTCACGGCGTGCACGGGGTGGGAAGCACGGAGCCCGACAGCCTTTCTTGTGTCGGGCTCCTCCCTGCCCTGGCGCAATATTTACATGAACACGAGGAGGACAAACGAGATATCCTGTCACGAAAAAATACCGCAAGCAGCAAGATTACGAGTGGTACGCTCCAGGCATGTTGGGTGTGCGCATGGAGGCTCAAGAAAGTCGACAGGTGGTGCCACAATAACGAGATATATGGCTGGGATGCAGCCTCGCCGCGCTTTCTCAGGACAGGGCGGTGGCCAGGACGGCAATAAAACTTTCTTGGGGGAGCCTTTGGAGGTGACTCCCATGCCCTTCAATGCTGTGATGCTGGACACGGATAATATGCGGGTGACAGACACGAGCGACTTCACGACCCGCCTGTTGGTGACAGTCCAACAGCTCCGGAGGGAAGGCCGAAGCAGCATGTGGGTCCGTGTACACGCTTTGAACGGACATCTTCTGGGCGTGCTGGGGACATTTGGCTTCAAATGCCATCACTGTGAGCCAGAGTCGGTGATCATGAATTTGTGGTTGCAGCCGGGCAAGGAGAACAAGGTCCCTCCCTACGCGACCCATTTGGTGGGAGTGGCGGGCTTCTGTCAGAATAAGAAAGGAGAGGTCCTGCTCGTCAAGGAGGGCAGCAAGAATCTGAGTGGGTGGAAACTCCCGGGGGGCTACATTAATGTAAGCGATGGGTGCTGGGAAGGGATGTCTTGACTCAGCCCTCCTCTCAACCCCAACAGCGAGTGGTGCCGTTCCGTGCGTATGATGCGTCTTCCTTCCACCCCGACTCACACCCACGTCTATCCCACCGCACTTCGTGACCTAGCCCGGCGAAGAATTTGGAGCCGCGGCAGTGCGTGAAGTGGAGGAGGAGACTGGGGTCCGGTCCTCGTTCGAAGGCCTGTTGGCCCTCCGGCACCAGCACCAGCAGTCTTTCGGCGTCGACGACATCTACGTGGTCACGCGCCTGCAAGCCCTCACAGACGAGCTCCGTTTGTGCTCCTCAGAGATCCAGGATGCGCGCTGGGTGCCCCTGAAGCAGTTCCAAGACGAAGCCTCCCACCCGATCCTCAGGACCGTGGCCGAGCTCACGCGGGGGTGGGGCGAGGGGGAGGGGCCCGTCAGGGGGGTCATCGTGGAGCGGGAACACCCCTCGATTTTGCCGGGTCGCCCGCCCTACAAGCTATACCACGCGCCGCTCCTGGGGCAGTAGGCGGTGGGAGGGAAAGCGGATGGAAAGGGTTGAGGAATTTGTACAAAGCAGAGGAGAGGAAGGAAGATTTTCTTATCCGCAAACGAAAGGAAAAAATTGCAGCTCTGCCTTAGAGCCAAGCACTCAAAATATGAAAAAGTCCCAACACTCTAGCCCGGCATCGCCCTGCTTGTCACTCCCTCAAGGCATTCGTTTCAGCGTTGTCTACAGGCCTCCTCCTCCTCCCTCCCATGTCTTGTACACGCTCCTTTCCAGTCAATCGCATTTGCCTCTATACTGGCGTGGCGCTTCATTCTCGCTATCTTTACAAGCCCGAAACGGGAACCTTCAGCCCAGACTCTCCATTCACTCTGCTATCATCTCCTCTTCCCCCTTCCCTCCGCCCGCCCCCGCCCCCCTACCAGCTCCCCCCTCGTCCCGGCTCGCCCCCCCCTTCTCCCCTCCCCCTGTCGTGGCCTCCTGATTCAGGCCCTGCTTGGGATCCACCTCCTTAACTTTCGAGAGGGCCCCCGCCCAGGCCGTCCGCATCTTCTCGTGTCGTCCCACCTGCGCCTCCAGGAATGCCACCGCCGCTTTTCGCAGTTCCTCGGCCTTTTCCTCCCGAAACGCCCCCCAATCCCGCACAATCCTCCCCGACACGGTCTCAAACTCCTTATTCTTCGCCTCCGCCGCCGCCACCGCCTTTCCCCACGCCCCCTCGGCCGCCTGCAGCTTGTCCTCCTTTCCAATCATACCTACCCACTTCTCTTTGCCCTGCGCGCGTACCGCCACCTCCACCAAGGCCTCGTGGTAGGCTCTCCGAGCCTCCATGCGTCGAAGCAAAGCGAGTTTGGCGGAGCCCAGCCCCCGGCTCCACTCCACCAGTGGCCCCTCCAAGAGCAAGCCAGAGCTTTCCACAGCCCCGGTTGCCAGCACCGACGCCGCGTCCAAAGCATGCCCCGTGCCCCTAATTACTTCCCCCAACCCTCCAGCCTCGTTCTGGCCCAGCAGGGTGAGCGCGAGGCCGAGCTGGAAGCACCCGTCGGCTGCCTCCTTCTCCCTCCGGACCCAGGTAGAGGCCTCGCGCGCGGCGCTGTGGAAGTGCACCTCCAAGACGTGCACGCAGGTCGCAATGTCGTCCAGGACGGCGTCGGAATCGCTCCGGGGAACCTCGACCTTTCCGGTGGAGGCACTAGAGAGGGAGTGCTCCATGTGGGCGAAGGCTTGCTTGACCAAGCGCAGCACCTTGGGTTGCCTCATCTGCTCACGCCGCCATTCCGCCTTGGCGTGCTCGAGTTTGGCCTCATTTTCCTGCAAAAATAGGACCAGGTCACTGCTTTTTCCCAACTCAGGGTGCTTCACCACGCGCAACAAGTAGCGCTCCAGGGCGCGGCGGCGCGCTTCCACGAAGGGGGCTTCGAAGCGACCGACCATGGCCTTTTCAGGAAGAGGGGGGAGGATACGTCCAGGAAAGGAGTGGCTCAACTTCATATGCAACCAGTTGAAGTCAGAGTAGCGGCGGAGGACACTTGTGCGGGGGGCTTGGAACTCGCTACGGCTGTCGTCAGCCTGAGTGACAACGGTATAGCCAATCCAGGCTTGCACACCTTCGTTGTGCTTCAGAGGGTCCGCGACGGAGACAAGGAGACCGTCTGAAACGTTTTGACAAGAAAGGCTCAACATTAATTGCTAAGTAGAGCAGGATTCACATTTACGTTTATAGGAGATACGTGTTGTGAGGGGAAACCCCCCATACCCGAGTGAAAAGCAAGTGAGCAAACCCTACATGGGCCGGAGAAGAAATGTACCTCGCTTGTATTAACTTACTCAAAGCTGCTGTCGGATTAGGAGAACTGTTGGCCATTGTCACGGCGTCAACGGTCTAGTTTTCTGGGGCAATGAGGAAAAGGGCACCGGATGGGGAGAACCTAGTCATGTTGTAGCGGTAGACGGAGTATAGGGAAAGATAAGATGGTCTCAATGTCGCACACCAGAAAGAGGAGAGTACATGTTGATAGAAGAGATACCCTGCCAACTCCTCATCTTATGACTTGAGTCGTCGGTGGTCACAGTCAGCTAGAGTTGTACGAAAAGTGGTTGCGTGAGTCGAGGACCGCTGATCTGGGAGATAGGGGAAGTCTGGTGATCGATCACCACGACAGGCGGCTTTCGTCAGCTTCACGCGCCTGCGTCCTTGGGGCCTTGTCGTCGATGTCGAGGGAGGATACCACCTTGCCATTGTCAAAGAGAGCTTGGAAAGGCATATTTGCGAGTGTGGATGACACATGAAGCCGCTAGGCGCCTCTGTCAAGCCCGTGGTCCTGAGCCCGAGCACTCGTCTCCTGCTTCTTCCATGGAGATATCGCACCCCTGACTTTTCCCCGTATTCCCGCCTCCCCATCTTCTCACTTACAAGGCAAAGCAACTTCTCATCTAAGTTGGAAGAGTATAGGCGTGCCTAGTGTACCTTTTGGGAGGAGTGTTGCGATTGTCTTGAACAGGAAAGCAGGCGCGTCACGGGGAGCCGAGGAAGGAAACAAAGCACGAAAAAGTCTTTGAGGTGTTCGCGGCCCAGGCAGCATGTCGGATAATGAGCATGACCATAAGCTGGAAAATGGTCCCGCCAAAATCAACGGGAAGGCGGCGGGGAAGATCTCGAAAAATCAAAGAAGGAGGTGATGCTAACTGCCTGTCATTCCCTTTCCCTCCCACTGGACGATCGCGTCGCTTCTCACACGCATATTTTCCTCCCCTCCTCGGACATTCAGAGAGAAGAAGAAGGCTGCCAAGAGAATGGCGCATGAGTCCGGGGGGGGGCATACCAACGGCAGCGTTCCCACTGCCTCCGGTGCTCCTCCCCCGGCGCCAGCGCCCGACGTCGAAATCCAATATGTGTCGGCCGACCTGGAGAGCGAGTTGGCGGGTGATGACCCGGCGCTGGAAGAATTCAGGGAGATCTTCAAGAAGTTTTCCACGGCGGAGGAGCTCTGTGGCACCAGCGTGGACGATGAAAAAGGGGTTGACGAGGGAGGAGAGGGTGCGGGGGAGAAAGTTTCAGGCGGTGAGGGCCGGGGGGGGGAGGAGGACGAGGAGGAGGAGAAAACTGGGTCGCGTCTATCTAGAAAACAACGGAAGAAGCTGAACCGACTGTCGGTGGCGGAGCTCAAGCAGCTGGTAGCCCGACCCGACGTGGTGGAGGCGCACGACGTGACCTCCCAGGACCCGCAGCTCCTCGTGCAGATGAAGGCCTACCGCAACTCGGTGCCGGTGCCCAGACATTGGTGCCACAAGCGGAAGTACCTGACGGGGAAGCGCGGCATCGAGAAGGCGCCCTTCGAGCTCCCCGACTTCGTCAAGGCTACCGGGATCCAGAAGCAGCGGGAGGCGATGGAGGAGAAGCTGCGCCTGCAGACGGCCCGCCAGAAAATGCGCGAACGTGTGAACCCGAAGATGGGGCGGATGGACATCGACTACGCCGTGCTTGAGGACGCCTTTCTCCGCTACCAGACCAAGCCCCCCCTAACGCCGCACGGCGAGCTCTACTACGAAGGCAAGGAGTTCGAGGCGCGCACCCGGAACCACACCCCAGGCGTGCTCTCGGAGGAGCTGGTCAACGCACTTGGCATCCCCCCCCTCTACCCGCCTCCTTGGCTCATGAACATGCAGCGGTACGGCCCCCCTCCCGCCTATCCTGCGCTGCGGATCCCGGGCTTGAACGCTCCTTTGCCCGAAGGGGCGAGCTTCGGAATGCACCCGGGAGGTTGGGGGAAGCCGCCCGTGGATGAGTACGGGAGGCCTTTGTACGGGGATGTGTTTGGAGTGCTGGGAGGGGGCGACGGGGGGGGCGCTGGGGGGGGGAGGGAGGGGCGGGCGCTGAGGAGGTGAACAGGAGGCATTGGGGGGGCGTGGAAGTGGAGGAGGAGGAGGTAGAAGAGGAAGAAGAGGAAGAAGAGGAAGAAGAGGAGGGGGAGGAGAGAAGGAAGGATGAAAGTGGGCTGGAGACCCCCGTGACAGAGGCGACGGGGCTATCGTCGGTGGTGTCGGGCCTGGAGACCCCGGGGGAGGCGATGGGTATGGAGCTGCGGAAGCAGGCGGGGCTGGAGGCGCCGAGCGAGGAACCCAAGGAGCTGTACAAGGTGCTTGAGCAGAGGGAGGGGGGGGGAGGTGCGGGGGGATTTTTCGCGGGAGACAAGAAATATGTGATGGAGGGCGGGGGGGGCGGCGGGCGAGCGATGGGAGGGGCGGGGCGTGTAGGAGCGCGTGGAGCTAGCGACGTGTCGATTGCCCTCAATCCGGACGAGCTAGCCGATCAGTTGGGGGACGAGGAGGCGTTGAAGGAAAGGTATGAGCAGGAGGTGGAGGCCCGGCAAGCAGCCAAGAGGCTGGCGGACGACGACAGCGACGACGAGCAGGGGGGGGGGCGCAAGAAGCGCAAAGGAGAGAAAGGGTGGAGTGGAGGGAAGAAGGGGAAAGAATTCAAGTTCTAGGGAGTCGGAGGGGCCGGGGGGCCGGTGGATGGTGCATGAATCTTGATTTCCAGGGGGGGGGGAGCTGGAGGCAAGGAGAGGAGGGAAAAGGGGCTGCCGTGCCCTAGGGGTTGACCAGTGGGAAGACGCTGCGGTCGGTGGGTGTGCTATGACACGTTTGGTTTGGATCAAACGAAATAAAAGAGCTTGACGCGCGTTAAGACTTCAATACTTCCCGACATTATTTTATTGGCTCAAATTAGCTCCTCTTCCATTCCTTGAATTACGGGTATTTGACGCCGCGCATGAGGCACCCATGGTGGAATTCGTTTGAAACCAAATCGAACGAAGGAAATTTGTTCAAGAACTCTGGAAAAAAGGACTCTACTGGATGCTGCCCTCCCTCATCCGCTCGTCCCCCACTTCCGTCCCTGACGCGCACGCGACGCGTGACAGGCAACATACACTGCATAGATTACGATAATTAGGTCGACACACAACACGTAAAAAAAACTCTTGCTTTGCCATCTCCGCCTCGCCCTGTTCTTAAGCACTCCCTTACATGCTCTGCTACAATTTTGCTGGACTTGGATGGATATGGTATAACTTACGGGAATAGAGGAAACCCCTCGCCTCCCCCGGCCGATCGAGACACATCACGACTAAGGTCTGTCCTGAGAGAGTCTGCACACGTTCTCCGCTTTGAATCCCATCGCAGAGCTATTTCCTCGCACGGAGGGCTCGAGGCCTCCTCGTAACCCTTCCGGTCGCCCGACCCCCAAGTCCGCCGGCACGGTCCGTCCTTCCCTTTCTTTATGGTGCATATCTTTACCCGAAAGCGCTGCGCGCTATAATTCTACGCGTATCTTTGCCCTTCCCATCTAGTTTCAAAGCGAGTTTGGTCTGCTTGGATGTCGCGAACATGCGACCTCTCAAACAAGGCCAGTGCTTCTCCGACCTCCTTGACTTTCGAAACTTAAATTTGATTTACGGTGGAGTTGTAATATTCTGCTATGTATATTGGAAACTGAACTTTTTCACATTCGTCCATATCTGCTTCTCGCAAGTAACATTCAGAGGAAATTCGTTGACAGCGTTTGGGACGCTTCCCCTAAGGGAGCGCCTGTCTTGTGGAGTGGATCGTCTACGCCCTTATCTGCGAGTCATGATGTGCTTCTGAGTCCAATTCGCCGAGGATGCCATGAATCAAAGTCGAGAAAAAGCAGGACGAGCATTCTTGTGCATGTCTTCACTTTGGATCGTCTCATTCACGTTCCTCGACTTCTCAATTATCTTCTCGTGTACGGTGTCCCGGGGCCTCCCTGAACCTCCCCTGCCCCCCCTCGTGACTTCAGTCGCGAACCCAACCAGGCGTGACACCTGGGCAGTCGTCCGTCGTCAGAGGGGTTAGGATGACTAGGTGGAATTCATGGCGGTGGATGAGTGTGTATGATCTGCTCACGGCTTGTGGATACTTGTGAAGGCTTGATTATCCGTTCTCAGGGCCGACCAGGGCCTTGAGAAGAGTGCTGGGGGAAGGGATAGTACAACACGCAATTATGTACACAGGATGTCCCACGACTCTCCTACACGGAGGTGGAGGCGACCCGGTTGCCCCAGAAATCGCCTTCCATCTGAAGAAGAAAGGCATTCTCCCCCCGAGGACTGCAGAGCGCGGCGGCCGCGATGGCGGCCGCGGACGGCATCTGAGCAGCCTCTCTCTCTAGGCCTTCTCTTTCTTTCACCTCCTGATCGCAGTTAAAGGCGCTCTGATTGCTGTGGCCTTCCTCCAGGGTGCCGAGGGGGGTCATGCCGCTGCCAGTCTCGAGAGACAGCGAGGACAAACTTCCCGAGACGGGGGGCTCCGCCCAGGCCCATGGGGAGGACGCCGAGTCGCCGACCGTGTCGAAGGAAGTCAGGCAGGAAGGGAAGAGGTCATCAGCCCCTCGCGGCGAGGGTGCCGGTAGCACGTTGTAGGAGAAAAAATTGGGCAGTGCGTTTGGGTCCTGTGACTTGACGGTGGCGGGGCCGGCGGGGGCGGTGGAGAGGGGCGCTAGCTGGCCCTGGCGGACGCCACCAGGAATGGTCAGGCTGAGGCGAGGCCGCCCTTGAGACCGGGAGAGGTCCAGAGCGTGCCGCTGCTGGGGGTCCGAAGCGCTTCCGCCCGTGGGGGCGAAGGAAATGCCTCCCGCTCCCTCTGCCTCCCCGTCGCCTTCCTTTTCGTCTCCTCCGTCCTGGCCATCCGACATGGAAGAAGCGTACCCCGACAGCGCGCCCGCCGAGGTGTTGGCCTCGCTCCCGTCCTCTCGGTCCTCAGGGAAGTCGTCCGCCGCCAGGGTCTCCTGGAGCGAGACACAGTCCCCAGAGGTCACAGAGCACATGCGCTTCCGTCCCTGCTGGTGGCCGCCAGAGGTGCTGATCGACGAGAAGCTGAGAGAGGCGCCCCGCTTCAGCCCCACACTCCCGGGGGACAGGCTATCTGTCGCCTCGTCGTCCGAGTCCGTGACCTCCTCGGCCTCCTCCCCCACGAGCGGCGAGTCCTCCTCTCCCTCGCCTCCCTCCTTTCCGACGACCGTGCTGCTTTTGCGCTTCACGCTGAGCAGGCTCTTGATGTTGCCACCGGAGAGCTGGACGTTGGTGTACGTGCACGCACTCATTTTGCCTTTCCCTTGGGTTTTGCGGAAGCCAAAGTAATTGAGCTGGCGCTGGAAGGAGCTGTATTTGCTGTGCCGGAAGTACTTGTGCAGGACGCTCTGCCCGAGCACAGTCGGGTCGCGGACATGGATTTGTCCTGGAGGATGGGAGGGGGAGAGAATAATGGATGAGCAGAGTTTAGAGTTTAAAGTTTGACAAACAGTAGGGGGTTCCTCAGAGACCGCTTATACATACTATTTAATACCGGTAACGGGAGAGAGAGAGAGAGAGAGAGAGAGAGAGAGACTGCGGGGGGGTTAGGGGTCCGCCTGTCCTTTTTCCTCTGGTAAGACCCTCATTTAAAGAGAAGCTTGCAAACTGCTCATACAGAGACTAGAGGAATTGCGCGCACTCAAACTGAGCAGGTTGCACCTCCTTGAGCGGTAGACACAAGGGCAAAGAGGTGTTCGGCGCAATATTTCCCACTCACCATTATCCCAGTAGATAATATCCTTGTCTTCGTTCAGGAGGATCCGATGCAGTTTGACCAGAAACTCAGGCGTCTGGCTCTTCTTAGAGGAGGAAGTACTGGCAACCGAGGTGGTGGTGGTAGCGGTGGCGGGCACCGCACCTCCCTCCTGAAAGCCGCCATAACCTCCGCCTGAGGTCTTGCTTCGACCCGCGCATCCGCTCCCCGGAGCCAAGGTCACAATGCGGGCCTTCATGCCACTGTTGCTATTTAATTTCCCCGCAGTACCTGACACAGAGCGCATGTGGGAGATGGCGGTGGCGCTGGTGGTTGAGAGTTTGAAAGAAGGCTGCCCAGTCATCACCATGGCCGGTGCGACAGGAGCAAAAGATGCGGCGACAGCCTCTTTTTCTTCCACGGCCGCCGCAGCAACGGCAGTCGCGCGACGTTGGCGCTGAGGCCTCAAAACCATAATGTTTGCAAACAAGGTTGGATAGGAGCTGCTGCTTTAGTATGGGAGGAAAGCGAGCAGGAATGAGCACGCTAACAAAGATGCCGGCTGCTCCACTCGGAACCGAACCGCACGAAAGCTGGTGTGTTTTCTTGAGCGATTCACAGCGTGAGCCGCGTAAGCATGACCGCGCTGACACAAATCAGCACAAGAGAAGGCCTCACATTCAAGGAAGGTGCCAATACATGAGTGAAAACAAAGCTGCGTGGAGGTTCGGGACGGGTCTGATTGGACAAAGGCAAAGCCGTGAAAAACTGCATTGGCATGACCCGCCTTCCCTGTCTCACGCGCCCCCCTTCGCCCGCTCTCCAAAATTCAAGTCGACGCGGCACTTTATCTTCGATTTAAAGATCCAGCATTACCCTCCCGTGCAGTCCAAAAACACCACAACGGATGTACCTCGCCGCAATGCAAGCTGGCAGTAGTCGCAACGAGCGGGAAGGGCGTGCTGCCACGGATGTCAGGCATAGTTGGTCAGTTTCCAGGGCGTTTTCAGAACAGGTGGTGTCAAATCTTTGCGGCCGGGGCCTAAAATTTGGGCGAGCGGCCGCAGGGAGGTGGGTGGTTGAGCGTGACACAGCACACTACGCGCAGAAAGTTGCCACGGCAGGTGACATAGGGCATGAAGCTCATGTACATTTTTATATATCTATATCGCCTTACATATGTGGATGGTGCACCCAGAAGTGAAGCAAGTCCAAAGGCCGTCCTTGCACGTGGTAAAAAAAATGCCTCTTTCCCCGTATCATCCCGCGTGGCTCGGCAAATGCTAGTTTCTGTCTCGGCAAAAAGCAAGGACAAAGTGTCTGACGATATCATGGCATGGTGGAGCAGAAAATGCGATTTTATGAAAATAAAATTTGCCGGCAGATCATCACTATACGAGGCAATCGCACTCTTACGTACAGTCGAATGACGTGTTACACAGCAGGTGAAACGCAATTTTGGTCAAATGTATTGGCATTGAATCAACGATGTTGGACAGAGTACTTTTTTGGTCCTGTCCGGCCCATGTTGGATTCAGTCTGACGAGGCATGGAGTTCTGAGATGTACTTACTGAAGGTGACGTTCCAATGCACGGCTTCAAAAGCACCACGTTGGAAGGAAATCGAAAATGATGAGCCTCTCAAATCATTACGTCCTCTACCTCCCTATTAAAAAGCTCCTTAGTATGACTCAAAAGAAGGCATAATAATTCTTTCCAACCTCACAAGAGAAGATTTTTTTTGGATAAGGCATGGTCCCCTCCATATTACTGTCATTATCTTTGCATTCGTGTAGCCACGCTTGAACATCGGGGTGTACACTCTACTTGCCGTTGTGACTCATCCACTTCTCATGTCGATGGTACATCCTTCAATTCTGTCTTGCTCAGGTTTGAATAGAATTTGGCAACTGGATGATACGAAAACAATAAAAAATCGCACAGGATGTGAGAAATGGTTTATGCTATATGGTGACTTACCCACTGTTTTTTTAAAAGGAGCCTTACAATTGTCGAAGCTTACCATTACTGTGACGTTTAGTTTCGTAATTCATGTTCTTCACCTCCAGTGAGGTATGATGAAAGTCCATGGCGGGTCGGAGGCGCATTTCGGGGCTTGATCGAGGGGACTTAATGAGCTTGGGCTTCTCGACGGCGAGCTTTTCCCACGGATCTCCTGTTTTCATTTCATGAAAGAAATGTAATAAGATAGAATTCGTTGGGTATTACATAGCATTGACCCTAGGTCGGCATGTGCATCGTATTATTCACCTGTTTGCCGAACAATGCACATCCTTTTGGCGGTCTCCCTCCCGCTTTCGCGTGAGACGTCTTCCAGAGCAAGCCGCTGCACCACATACTGAGCGAGATATTCACGCTCAGCCCGTTGGAGAGAGGTCAACGCATCGATGCTCTGTCCATGAGCGCCCGCATCAGAGGGTAGAGCATCTGCTAGGGCCTCAATGGCCTTTCGATTGAGCGGTATCTTGTCGCGGTCAAGATAAATAGCGGGATAGTTCTGCGTATTGGTGTATAAGTTTAGTGGTAACATCATTAGATTTGTTTTTGTACTTTTTGTACCGAAACAGTTGCAGAGTCTACAGTTCTGACCTTTCCTGTCCCCTTGCTCTTTGCCGTCACGGCGATGATGCGAGGAGGGTCATCGTGGCCATAGAGCCTTAATATGAGGTGTTCTTGTTCGCGCCACATGAGTTTAGAAGTAGTTGATAGCAAACTCAGAGCTATTGTGGGCTTGCGAGATACTTGAATGAGAAGTACGATGAATCTTTACATTTACGAGGGTAACGAGCTTATCATGAGTTTTTGTACGCACAACACAGTCATGACCTTGTGCACCGATAAATACAAGTATCCGGACGACTTAGGAATATTTTGGCACAAAAAGATATATATAAGTACACGTGCGTATACCTTTTCGATAGTAAAATGTGACGTAATGCGAGGCTGCTCTCGCTGTGAACCCTCATAGTCACTCCTGCAACATTCTGGGGAAAAGCTCCTGTCGTCCACACGCGTGGATGCAATTGAAGCAGTACTTGGTAAAATAGGCGATATCGAAGTCGATGAAAAGGTTTTCGTATCCTGCTTCTTTCGTTTCTCAGAAAAGAGTGGCTTTGGAAACGTTGTTTGACGGGAAAAGCTGACAGCTTGACGGAGCGATCTACGTGATGCAGCCTTGCGAGGTGCAGGTTGCCGCGTGACTGTCGAATCGCTCGCCTTAAACAATCCGATGAGACGTATAGGACATTAAAATATATATATATCGGTCAATGAGCCCGTAAATGAACGGGTTTTTATAGTGAAAGCTTACCCGGCCAGAGTCAGATCTGTTTGTGCTGTCACTCAAAGATAAAGCTGAAGATAGACGTCGAATGCGCTCCACTTTCCATGAAACGTGTGGGATCGCCAACGCGAAAGTTTTCAATTCGTCCAAAGACACTACTTTGTCTTCGTTTACTTCAAATTTTCTCACAAGAAGGCCGACATCAGTCTTCCGCACATGTAAGGCATAAAAAATGTAGTTAAGGCTGAGAAAGAATCCCGCGAAACAATCCATGATTGACAAGTGGAAATGTGTTGACATCACAGAAGATGAAATATAATACTTCCACCCCTGCCGCAAAAAATGGCAGATAGCAGGAATTGTTTTGCCTCCGCGTACCTCCGTCAGGCAGAAAATATCCGGACTGAGTTTCCTCAGGGCAGCTACGAAGGCTTTGGATGAAATAGTGCTGGTGACTTCATGTTTAAGACAGAATTTTTTAAAAATATCATCATAAGTCATGCCAGACTCTTTCGCACGAATGAATATTTCTTGCAGTTTCGACGTACAATCTGTGGAGGTGTGGTATGCTGCTTTATTTCGCAATATTATCGAGCGAATACCATTAAAAAATATAGCATCATTACCTTCCTCATGCTCTAGATCACTTTTGTTGATGGAAACTCCGTTAATTGCGTCACTGTATGATTTATTTAGGCTCATGGCTGCCATGACCCTAAGCGATTGTCGGCGACGATCTTCGAGGCGGTCTTCAGTGCTTGTAACGGCGGTTTGCACATTCGACGAGCCATTTGATGAGTCAGAATACTGGGAAGCTAATCGATACGCCTTGGGCCTGTGTTGTGAAAGCGAAGAATTTGCAGATGAGAGATATTTCGGCTTTTAAAATTTTGGGCGGTCACTTACCTGCTAATGTGAATGTCCTCCATATGCCTGCGGATGCTTATCTGTTGCTCAACACGAGATTGAACGAGATGTGAAAAGAATGAGGAGATTTCTGTAAAACAAATAATATGCTTTATACGTGCAATACCGCGTGACTTTGACAGGGGATCACAAGGCCGGTCGCCGCCGCTATTTCCGAGGTGGTGAAAGTCCGAGAGTCCACCCGGGCGCATTGCCGAGGTCGGACCAAGATAAGACTGGCCGCTCAATCTACAAGTTAAAGGACGTAAGGCGTGCAATCAAGCGTAGTCGAGGGGAACTTTTCACTCCAACAGAAAATTGTAAATAAAGAAAACTACAAAATAGTCAATAAATGCAGCAACTCGCAAACTGATCAGGAATACTTTTTCCCTTGTTCATACTGGTCGTCAAGAACCATCAGGTTATTCAACATGGGAACGATTCTTGATACACACTACTGTTTCATCCATCGACGTTAACTGTTCCTATCACTATTTCTCGCCATGATGGACGTAAGCTGGTTCGATATCAAAGACACAAGTGTTTAGTTGCCGAGCTTGGAGAGAAGGGTGGTGATGGGGTCCTCGCCGTTGGTGAGGAGGGCGCCCACAGTGGCTCCGGTCCAGGCAACCATGGCCAGGCGGCCG